ATGCTACTAGCTCTATGTTCATATACTTTCTCAACCTACTGAAACACAAAGAGCCAATAACGCCTCCACTGAGGCTCGAACTTACAACCTTCCAAATGGAAGTCCAACCCGGATACCATTAGACCACATAGTCCTGGTCCGTAATAATTAACCAATTAATCTATTCTTTCAAAAAAAAAAAAAAAAAAAAAAAAAAAAAACCAAATCTATCATTTCACCTGCCACGAAATTGCCTAATTGTCCCATCGCTGGTTGGCTGGTTGGTTGAAAATCCATTTCCCTTTTCCTCGCAATTGACACCCCAACATCTCATTGCATTTATTGCCTTGCTTTATTTGCACTCATACTATGAATGTGTGAACTAAATATGGTCACACGAGATCACCTCTATTTAGGCAAGTTTATTATACATAAGGAAACAAATATGTACAATAAAAAATAATTGACTTGATAATTATAAAATTTCGAATTTTACTTTTTGTAGGAATTGTCTATTGAATTTTATTATTTGAGTCAGTCAACTATGATAACCCTGGTTTATTTCATTGTGGTCATTTGTTGATTATGGTCAAAAGGCGAGTTTCACCCGGTATACATCTTTGGATAGCGATTGCAGACTTTTCCATAAATAAAAATAATTTACTTACAAATATCTAACAAGGCAATGAATATAATTATACATAAGTTTGCATGTTACAGATTTCAAATATTTAATAATTTTTTAATAATTCATCAAGTATTATATTTTTACTAAATTATTACTTATTCCTTGAAAAGTATTATACTCCGTTTTAATATTAGAGTCCGTTTGGAAAGAAGAAAAATGAGTCATTTTTCGGAAAGTATTCTCCTTTTCCAGTGTTTGGTTGCATTTGAAAAATTGTTTTGGTGTGCTTGGTTCATCTTCTGAAAAATAAGTAGACTTGTATAATTAAATATTTTATTTATTTTATTTAGAATATAAAATATTTTTTTTTTTATATTTTAAACCCAAAAAAATAAATTCTAGTGGAACTAAAAGAAAAAAAGAAAAAAGAAACAAGCTGAATGTGGCGGAAAATGACTTTCGCCAAATTTTGGTGGAAGTCATTTTCCGTCAAAATGAGTCCATTTTCCCCCGTCAACGGAAAATGTTTTCTGTTGGCTGGATTTTCCAAGTGTAACCAAACACCAAAAATCCGAAAAATGATTTCCCGGATTTCCAAACTCAGCCTTAGTGAAAATGTAATACTTATTGGTTTATGAAAAAAATTACATTTTCGCTAAAAAGTATTACTCTCTCAGTCTCATTTTTACTTATCATATTTACTAGAGTAAATACCCAAAATGGTCCCTCGACTATAGCTAAATTCACAAATTGGTCCTCAACTTTCAATTTCACCCAATTAAGTCCTTAACTTTGTAATTTTAACACAATTTGGTCCTCTGTCTATTTGACCGTTTGTTGACTGTGATTTTTTAGGATATATATGTAATTTCATGGTCCATCGTCGATTTTTTTTAAGATTCCGGTTGCATTTCCAAACCGCACTGTTACATTTGAATCCACTGTCGAAAGCAATCTACCAAACCTGGTCACCTTCTTCATCCTCCCTTTGGATTCAATGTAGTTGAATTCGTACCAGAGCGAAGAAGACGACGTGTTTCCGAACCGGTGTAACGTCATCCTGGAGGCCTCCACGTGCCCCGACGAGAGTCGAAGATTCTTCTGGAGATCGTCGATCACGGTCAACAAACGGTCAATTAGATGGAGGACCAAATCGTGTCAAAATTGCAAAGTTAAGGACTTAATTGGGTGAAATTGAAAGTTGAGGACTAATTCGTGAATTTAGCTATAGTCGAGTAACCATTTTGAGTATTTACTCTATTTACTATTCATTGATCAAACCAACTTTTTTCCTTGTGTTTAATTTCTTTAGTAATTTTTAATTTTTTTTTTGTATTTAATAGCACTTAGTTTATAAATATATAAATTTAATATATTTGTTGAAAATAATTTGCTACTTATCAATATTTATTTTATCTCCTATATATTTCAAAATAATACCGGAGTAGTAAATATTAATTTTTATGTTTGTACGAGTCAAACGATGATGATTACAACTAAGTATGCCAGCTAAGAATGAAGAATCGACCCCCAACAAGGCAACAACTCCATCAACGGTTGGCAAGCGGGCCAAACGACGTCGTCGACGACCACTTTCTAACACAGTCGGTGCGCCAACCCCCCGTCCAACGCCGCTCACAATCCCAGCTGCCCCTTCCTCTCCCCTTTCCATTGCTTCAGATCTTCCCTCTTTGAGCCTCGGAGCTCCATCTCGCTCTCGCGTATATATAAGGATAAGGATATACGTACACTGCATAGATATCTGTATATACTCACGCATTGGTCCTGAAAGCAGCTTGTCGATCGGCGAGCGTTCAAATGCGCGCTGTCGGTTCCGATAACTGATTTGGTTTCCGATCAGGTAGCATTTAGCGGTTGTGGAGAAGCGAGAGAATGGCGGCGGTCGCCGGACCCGTGACGCCGGGGCAGGTACAGTTTCCACTGCTTGAGCATAATTCTGATTCGGTGTTTTTATTTGAAAATTGCTGTGGTTGGAACTTGGATGGTTTAGAAGTTTGTGAATTTGAATGAAGTAAACAAAAGCTTGATCTGACGACGATATGGTCAGCAGTCAGCAGATTTGGATCACCCGAGAGTTTGAGACGCCATAAACGTGGTCTCTGATCACTATAGTCTATAGGTTCTCTTTCCTGGATAAGAAACTCAATCTCTAAACTTTAGAGCATGCAGCAAAGTTCGGAATGCAGTATTTTTTGTGGTTAGGTTAGAAATGGATTTAGCCTATTGGTGTATAGTCCTTAATTTGGGTTTGATTTATATGTATTTTACAATGTGTTGGCTTTAGCAGATGTATAGCTGCATCTTCTGCTTTAAAAAAGTCTGTCAACTCACATACTATCTCAATCCTGGATTAGCTTGTACTAAATATAATGTGTCTTTTATTGTTAGATTTATATATTTACAGCTACATTGCTGTATGCATAATTATATCTCCCTACTTTTCATTCTCTAATTGTTTTATGTGCGCCCATGTTTTCTCATGGTAATTTCTCACAATGTTTTGCTGATCACGTTTCAGGTGTCATTTTTTATTTGGAATTATCCCTGTTATCATTGCCTGGTTATATGCTGAATGGTTAGAGTATAAAAAGTCATCATCACCCTCTAAAGTGTAAGTTTCCTTCTCAACCTGGAGACTTGTCTTAATATGCTTATAATTACAAGACAATACATGGAATATATCCTCACATTTATCCTTACCGTCTTCATTTGAAGATGAGAACTGTGAATCTTAAGTAAATACATGGACGGGAGCCACTATCTTTAGTTAGCATCTCTTTACTAGCAGATTTTTCAGTTTCTATTGTATCTTTCCAAATCTTTGACAAAGACAGATTTGAGATGCCATAATAATACCTGCTTCAATTATTATTATTATTATTATTATTATTATTATTATTATTATTATTATTATTATTATTATTATTATTATTATTGTTGTTGTTGTTTTGCTGTTTAATTTGGGTTACAAGTTGAGTCGCAGATCTAGGAAAAGTTTTGAGGTAAATGTGCCATATGGTCTCGTTCATTGAGGTATTAAACAGGAGGAGGGGATGTAAAAGTAGAGGTTTTAATTTCTCTGGTTTTTGATGTATAGATAAGGTTTTAAATCAAAAAGGATATCTGGTTTGAATCTATACTATGTTTTATTTTCCAATAAAGAGGGATTAAAGGGTAGAAGTGAGGTTAATTTTCTTTAGGTTGATTAAAATATATGTCTACCTTCTGATTGATATTCATATTCAATTTTTGCATTGCTGGATCTTCTGGAAGCAGCCATTCAGACAATAACCTGACTGAATTTGGGAATGAAACAACAATTAAGGAAGAAGATCGAATTGTTTTGCTTGAAGGAGGTCTGCCAAAATCTGCATCTTTGAAGTTACAGAGTACATCTGTAAAAACAAACTTAATTAGGTTAGTATGTTCTTCTTTTCATGCATTTGGTGGAGGATTTTCCCCTCCTCATCCTTTGACTTGCTTTGTTTTTAATCTTTTGCACTCACCTTTCTTGTTTTGTTTCTAGGTTTGTTACAATGGAGGACTCTTTCTTGCTTGAAAACCGGGCAACTCTTAGAGCAATGTAAGTTGTGGAAGATTCAGTTTGGTTTCACATAATTTCCTACTCATTTTACTTATATTTGACCCTACAATCTTATTTAGGTCTGAATTCGGGGAATCCTGTTTTACTTTTTCATCTGTGACCGGACAAATGTTATTGGTGATTCTACCAAGGTGCGTTTTCCACTGATCACTGATGCTAATTTTTCTTTCTTGATTTAATCCTGACAATTCAATGAATATCATCTATAACCTGACAAGACTAATTATCTACAAGACTAAAATGGTTTCTATTATTCATAAGAGAACTTACTACTTTACTAGTACACATGCGTGAGCTTTGAATTTTAATATTTTTGGAAATCAAGAACATGGTATGGTATTATGGTAACATTACTGTTGGCTAGAATTCGGCTATCAATCCTTAAGGGTCCGTTTGGAAAGCAGGAAAATGACTTCTGGAAAATGTTTTCTGGAAAATGAGTCATTTTC